GTTAGGTTTCTTACCAGGAAGGTCTTTCAGGGCGTGACGAGCTTTTTGAAAACGGTCTTTTGCATGATATAGGGGCAGATGCGGGGACCACAGAACCATGTTTAATTTTTCCTGAACGGCCCTCTGAATACCAGAAAAGGGGGTCCCTAGTTCGATTCCTCTTGGTGACAAATTTTTGCATTTCGAGTTGACGTTCCAAAATTCGCGCAAAATGGAGTTCTGATTGTTCTGGTTGGTTCTAACTCCATTTTGCGCGAATTTTGGCACGTCAACTCGAAATGCAAAAATTTGTTACCACGAGGAATCGAACTAGGGACCTCCTTTTCTGGTATTCAGAGGGCCGTTCAGGAAAAATTGAACATGGTTCTGTGGTTCCCGCATCTGCCCCTATATCATGCAAAAGACCGTTTTCAAAAAGCTCGTCACGCCCTGAAAGACCTTCCTGGTTAGACTACATCTCACATATCCTTACCTACGTTCCTTCGGTATAATATTGAATTTCTGATATATTGCCTGCTATCTCACACCGACGGATAAAATCACATTTCGCCCGGTTTCTCCAGCACGATTTCCCTTTTCCCTGAGGTATGCAGAGGTGTGCCGACAAGCAAGCGAACGGGTTTCGTGGCTTGTTTGGAACATCTTATCAACCTTCGAAAAAGTGGGTATACGGCCTTATCTCGCTTATAGTGCTGTTCTATTTCTAATTCCTGTTTACCTCCGTGCACTATTTTCCGACCTTTCTTCACTGCCGACGCGGGGACATATGAGAATCACCTGCTATCCATGTCAGGAATCGCTCTTCCGGTAATCGATCTGATTGCATCGTCAAGACGAGATTTTGATCGTTTCTCCTTTTCGGGCTCTAACTTGGATGCGACAACGGAAGAAGTAGTGTGGCGCCTCCTTGTTATTTATCCTTACGACCATTACGCGATTGCTGATTCCTGTTTCCAGGGGACGATGGGTCTTTTGAACGAACTCCGCTACCGCTATGTTCGCGTTTGGGCATCTTCTCCACTGTAGTAGAGTTTCTTCGATTTTCCTGAACTTAGGCACCCTCTACTGAAGGCCATAGGTTCTGTAATATTTCGCTAGCGCGGTCATAATGGCAAACCTCAACTGGGACTTCCCAGTAAGTGATACTAAAGTATAGCAGTCCCGCTAGAGTCGAACTAAGCGCTTGGCCGAGGCGTTCCATCCTCGGTAAAATCACTTTCCGCATACTGACCACAGAACTCGGGCGGGGGTTCTGCGCGCCACTTCCGGGTGACGTCCTAGCATTTAACACTGATTCTTTTTTTCGACTTTAGACATGTTTGGTGTGACTGGGGTCTTCATCAGCCGGCCTGTCAACCTGGGCCTGACGCTGGTACTAGAACCATTTTTGCAATTTTTGCAAGGCATGGTTTAGAGCCTCGGCAGGGATCGAACTCGCGGTTTCAGAGGTGCAGACATGAGTCTAACCTCTTAACCACTCGGCTATCCCTGCCTATGGGTCAGAGATAATAGGATCACACGTTGCTGCAATTCGCTTAGGCTAACCAGCCCGCCATATTCTCAGAACTGATATCATACTCATCTGAAGCATGAAACACCTTCTACTTCTCTACATCGCATGGTTTCGCGCAGGTTGAGATGTAACCAAATGCTACTACGATACTGAAGGAAAACAGAATGCATGGCGCATCTCGAAAAAACTGATTTAAGACGGATGCATTATCCTTTTACTTTCTCATGCAAAAATGTCATTTTCTATATGACTTTGGAAGCCCAGTGAACATCTGTAGGACTAGTTTTGTCCCCAAAGGGCCAGTAGCATTTCGCAGGCGAATAACGAACAATGAGGCCTCAATGAGTGCGACGGAAGTTCCCTCGCAAATTTTCTAAATGACCTCCATCCAATGACGATTTCCTCACAACTTCATTTATTTACACAAATTTGTGATCCGGGACACCTCATCCCTTACTTCCTTCCATTTATCCTTTACTTTCACCTCACCATCAGCCTCACTATATAAATGAGTAAGCAATTTTATACTTATTGATTGCTGCTTAGCTTTTCCTTGCACGAAAACTGAACGCTATGATTGAGTGAGCAGTGCGACTTACACTGGTAACTTTATAAGACCTTTGTGTCTTATGAAAGAATCAGCAGCAGCCCTTGAGATGTCACGAATCTCGTCGATGGTCAGGCGTATGTCAACTTCGGGAGCATTGTACGACACTCTAAAACAAAAAATTCATTGTTTTGCCTTCTTTGACTGGGTGGGGCAGGAAGTAGAATTGCACGAGTCAGAAACAAAGGGGAGCATGGGTAGCACTCAAATGAATCAGGCCAATTGGGCGCTCATATCGTTGGGAGGGAGGGGGGGGGTGGGACTGGGTGACATTCAAGTGAATGAGTAACCTACGGTACTTGGAACTGAATCCTAGGCAGGGGAAGGGATTCTGGGGAGAATGCTGGCGTTTGTGTTCTCCTGGCCTTTCTCCCCTCTTTTGGGCTTACCTTAGTCCTCGTGCCACCTCCCAGCGGTTTAAGAGGCAAACCTCGGGATTACCCCCACTAG